TTTGGTTAAGTACCACTAAATGTTTCTCAAACTCCATAAGCTTTGGTTAAGTGTCATAAAAAGGCTCTTAACTTCATACAAAGCAATTTTCAATATCATGAAAAAAAATCACATTCTATTTTTTTCTCGGTTTTGATTGATTTTGTCCTCTATGTTGAAATTGTCATGTCACGCATCAAATTAGGAATTAAGCTCTTATTTCAGATAAGTGGGCGCTTTTGAAAATTCACAATTATAGCCGAACCTTTTTTCTGCTGTTATTGTTGTTTTCATATTATACCGGTGGAATAAAATTATCAATGAAATATTTAAACCACAAAATATTTGACCACTCAACATAAATAATACAATTTACAATTTTTGTTTCATTGAAAAATAAACAAACAAAAAACTTTAGAGTGAACGAGCAGTCCTTAAATACCTAAAATGCAATTGTAAATCTCGTCCCTTTTTATCAAACTTCGGATGAGGACTTCAAAGTTTTATAATAATTGTACATGTATGTCAATGCGTATTTTTAAATTGATTCTGATCATCAGATTGCTCCGTCGAATGACAGATGGCATTATTACCTTCAATGGGTATCAATTCCGAAATAATTATTGATAATTGGCGTGGTGTCCCGAATGTCTTTAAAAGAAAAAGGACTTTTATACGGCATTTCAAAAGTCCATCCAATGTCAGCCATCTTTGTAAACTGGCATTTTTTTACCCATAGTGCTTCATAAGAGTTTTACCAATCCATTATGATTACATGAATGTTATACAGAGAGCCATATTTCATTAAGAACTCAATTTTAGGGGATGGGAAATAAATCCTAGCATGGCTACAATTATATGAGCATAGTTCGGATGAATAAACATTTCTTGTTTTTGATTACGTGTCTAGACAACGGAAATGAAGAAATTACATATGTTAACGTATAAATAATATAATAAATGATGAGTTTTAGTAAATGGCAGGGACCCACTAAATGACAAACGTTGAGTCATCCCTCTTCCCAATAAACTATTCCTCTTGACCAAATTGCAGAGCTTTGATTTTTTCCTTAATGTAATTATGTTGTCAGATGAAAATGTTTTGCTGTAACGTTTGTTCATTTAGTTGAATCCGAATTGTAGCTGAATACATGTACTTAATACTTATTGCATTGCGCATACGCAGTGCTTGCATTTATTTAGTTTGAAATACACGTAGGTCATCAGAATTAGTGAACCTGGTATTTTGAAGTCAAACTATGTCATTTAAGAATGGGACAAATTTAGTTTTAGAAAAAAAAAGATAAACAAGGAAAATTTCAAGCCTAAACAAACATTTAAAACAGAAGAATCGACCTTTGAATTTATCATAAATCAAATGGAATTGAAATTTAAAAGATAAATGGTTATTTCTCTCTTAACCCAGATTTTGTACCAGCATGGTTGCTTGTGAGGAAATATAGAGTAATTGATATTGTATGCAAATTTATAGACTTCTTTTGTAGACAAGCTTTATCACTTTATGAACTACTTTGGAATAGCGAAATGTGAGGCGTATAATGCAGATTTGCCTATTTTGGTAAATTTCTTTACCATGGGAAATACCACCTAAAGGCCGTTTTTGCCATGGCATATAAGTTTTGTGATTTTGCTATGGGAAAAAATGAAATTAAAAATTTACATTAAATCCATTTAAAAAACCAATAAAGATAGGCATTTTCACTTTGACAAATTGTGTTACAGTGTACTTCTATTTGTAAAGCACGTTATAAAACATAAGTACTTTGCCCGTGAAAGTAAGCCGACGAGGTATTATTTGAAATGCATAAGTAAAAATGTTTTCGCCTCTTTTACTTACACGTACTATGTATTTACTTATTTCCTTTATTTTCCCTTCTTTATTTTTTATATTTATTTGTTTATTTAGTTAGTTATTTTTTTATTTACTTATTTATTTGTATTGTTTTAGTTTTTTTTTATTTCCGGATGCTCGAATTTTGTATATTATATAATATGCTTAAATGTTATCTTCTTCCTTTTTTGCTTTGTGGCTGCAGATATTAACAAACAAACAAACAAAAACTTGCCTGACAAAGCGTCTGTCGTTTTAGCAGATACAATGACAATTGGTCTAAGTTTCAAGTACAAAAGTTCAAGGAAAATAATAAGTTGCATTCAATGCATGCGATTTATTGTATCATATTTGAGCGCAATTTTCCCTTTTTCACTGCGTCTTTGGAAAACTCATTATATTTGTGGTGCCTCATGAAATATTAGCGGTATATTAATCATACTTATTTAGAAAGATTTTCTTTTCTTATAAAAGTCTGCGACAACTGTGACCCGTCAGTTTAGCAATAGGCACGGTGTAAAAAAGTTATTTTTCATTAATAATGATATCGTTGTGGTCTCATACATTCCACGTATCTGTCAAACGATCCGACAGCCCCGCTAGTTTGTAATTGTCATCTTACACCTCGAGGTTCCAAACACCATGGACAAAATCTAGATAGATTGCATGCAGCGGTTTGAATAAAAAACTAACTAAATATTAATATGTTTAGCGCAGACATTTTGTAAAGATATTACATAAGGAGGTGAAATGCCTTTCATATTTATTTTGAAATACAAAGAAACCTGAGCTAAACGGCCGTCTGTAGAGCAAAAAACTGTATTCCTAGAAACTTTCGCGGAAACAATATTTTGCGTTTTTTCACGCGTTTTTCGCGGTAGTGTTTTTTACACCAACGATGCCAATTCTTCTAAACAGTTACACATTACAGTAAAACTGAACTCTCTAGAGAACAAACCTTTCAGCAAAAGCCCAAATCTTTGTCTATCAGAGGGTATTTCTCTGGAGAGGTTTTACTGTAGTATCAAATGATGTTTATACATGTAACTTTTGAAATATTGCATTTGAATTGCATCTATAATTGAACGTTTTATAATTCATTTTAGATATTAACACAGTTTTTGCAAATAGTTCAGGTCAGTTGTTCTTCAGCATTGATAGGAAAAAGAAACGACGTGAACGAAAGTTGTAAATAAAAATCAATGAAGTTGAACTTGTATTTTATTTCAAGCACACCTATCTTATTCTCCTTGCCTTGTATAATGTAAAAAAAATGAGGATTTTTAGTTTGAATTTTCTCATTTAGATATAATACATACTTTTTCGTCTGCTTATTTGCAAATTGAAACGATTTAATGGTCTATAATTATGCTTAATAAGTTACAATAATTGTGTTAAAAAAGAAGAAAAAAACACACGTTTTACAACGAAAGGAATGTCAAAGCTACTAAGATGAGCAAAGAAAAAGATGATGACCATTTTGTTTTATATTTTATATTCTTTTCGTTGATGAACAAAAGTCGTTTGAATTATTAGGCGTCCGAGCCTGTTTTTTTTACGAGTAAAATCTGCCAACAAGCAATATATACCCATTCACATACTTTATGCAAAATAAAAAGATCTTAAACATTCGTACATAATGTCTACGGTATATTAACTATAAGTCTCCCCGATCTCGTCTGCTTCATTCAAACTCCCTTTATTATGGCAGACATAGCAGACACAGAAAGCTATATAAATAATTACAATTCCAGACAAATACAGTTCAGACCACAGTTTCCATGAAATAACTTGTCTCGTTCATTCCTCATATCTATTCATCTTTGAGTGAAGAGAGGCATTGTATACAGTAAACTTCGCTTATAGCGAACACGGTTATAGCGAACTTCCGGTTATAAAGAACTTTCTTTTTTTTTTTTTTGGGGGGGGGGGAGAATTTTGGCCTTCTTTTTCTAATATAATAAAACGGTAATAGCTAACACGCTTATAAGGAAGTATCGCTTATAAGGAACTCATTTTCTAGTCCCAATTTAGATTCAGGGGAGACAAAAAAGGAACGGAAAAAAAACAAAAACGTTTAATCTGGAAACAAAATTCAAACAATATACATAATACATGTATTTGTACATGTATTATTCTGTCACATCATATCTTCTGTCAAAATCATTTGGGGGTTTTCTTTGTCTTTGCAAAGCAAAATAATGAATTTTGCATGTATATAGAGTTTAATGAGTTATAAAACCGGAACTTTCGTCTTTCAAAATGATCACTTCCGGTCTGTTTAAAACCGGAAATCGTGCTAAAACAAAACATTTAAAAGAATAAACATACCGTTTTTTAAGAAGCAGTATTCACAGGAAAGAAATCTACATGATAAGTCTTTGACTTCCTTTTCAATCCTGTTTTATATAATGTTGTTGTATCATAATTGTATATGTTTGTATTATATGAAATAAATACTGTTAATACCAAGAAGCAGTAATAAATGGTATTTAAAAAATGATTCTCGAAAAAAAAAGAAATTGGTAAAACCATGAAGTTAGGAAATGTCACACTTATATAGGTCAATTGCAGACGATCACAAAATCTCCGTACAGATTTATCGAACGGCAGGACGGATGAAATCATGTTTTTTCCCTGTGAAAAGTTCTATATAATAACATGAATTTTATGGCCTTTTAAACACGTTAAGAGCGAATTGGAAATCGATGAGATTCTTGTTTAAGACTGCCATTTTATGAATCACATTTGTAATTGCATGCAAATGCACGTTCATACATCAAGATGATAATTATTTTTAGAAACACTGTTTGCTTAGTGTTGACTTGTACGGTCGTTCAATGCAGACTTCAAAGATAGGGTGATTCACGGTATATGTGAAAGAACTAGTGAATATGAACGAGTGGGTTAATGAGTGAACGAAGAATGAATGAATGAATTGATTGATTGATTGATTGATTGATTGATTGACATTGATTGCCATTGACTGTGATGGATTGAATGAATGAATTAATGAATGAATGAGAAAATGAATGAATGAATGAATGAATAAGTCAACAGACAGAATTTATAGAAATAATCAATTATAAATAAACACATGTAGTTTATTTGAACAGTGTATATTTAGATGACTAATAAAATTGACAAAAAACTATTATATTAATTGCAGGTGCTATAGGGTATTCTCGTGCTGAAGGCTACTGTTCGGATGAATATGGTACTATCTACTCCTCGCCAAGTAGCAGCTATGCCACTAAATCTCTTTCCCCCGTGCCAAACCGGAAAGTGGCCGCTGCGACGCAAACGCCATCGCACGTGAAACTCCTTCGGAAACATAGCGCTGACTGTCTGCTGTCGTACAAAACATATCAAATGGAGGACCCATATGCTACGATAGAACCCCCCCTCACTCAGGAAGCGAGATACTCAAAGCCACATATGCATTCTTCATCGAAGGGGCCGAAAGCGCCCCCTACCACATCTACCTCAATTAATACAGCGTCAAACGCTGAATCTAGTAAAGCTATAGACACTAATGGTAAAACTATAACTCGAACTTCTGCCAGTAGGTTCAGAGATTTGCAATTAGCTAAGCGACCATTGCAGATCGCGTATGGTGATTTTGATTGTTATAAGATTGATCTTAAGAAGCGAAACGAGTTCGCCCGTTCGAACGGGCATGATGGAATTCTGTGTGTGCACGTGTTATGTGGCCAAGGTTTAAAGTGCGCTAAGATGACATTACGGGATCTATATTGTGTTTTGTCTATAGATTCTATTAATAAAGCTAGAACAATGATACGGACGGGTGCAGTCAATTTTGACTGGGACGAAGCTTTCGATATTGACCTCGAAAATGCTAGAGACGTGTCTTTCTTAATTTATAATTGGGATCCTAATTATAAACATAGGTTGTGTTTTCATGGTTCTATATTTTTACCCGGATTTATAGACCCTGGAAGAAAGAAAAAAATAGCTCTTAAAATGGAACCCAAAGGACTTCTTTACCTCACCCTCCTCTATAAAGAACCCAAAGAAATACTACAACGATTACCGTCTGTTAAAAGTGACGGGGTGTTTGGTGTTGATATAGATACTGTTATAAAACGGGGTCAAGGAAGTGCAAATGTCCCTCTCTTGGTTGTGAAAAGTATAGAAGAAATAGAACGCCGCGGTTTAGAAGTAGTTGGTATATACAGACTTTGTGGCTCGTCGCGCAGAAAAGCACAACTCCGTGAAGTTTTTGAAAAGAATTCTTCAACGGTGGACCTTTCTCCGGATAATGTTTCTGATATACACGTTATAACTGGTGAGTTGTTGGTGTTCTTACTTTCTGAAATATATCAAATAACAAAATAATATGGTGAATATGTCATAACACAGTGTATCTGAAATAGATTTGTCCATCTTTCCGTCATATATTTTTTTTGGAAAGAAACTCAAAAGAAGTACTGACTGCATAGCAAACAGCGCAGACCACGGTCCGTACCGGCTTATCTTGGTTTGCACTGGTCGCATGGGTATAATATATTGCCTCTTACAGGTTACGGGTCTAAAGTGCCAAACTCAAATCCGTATATAATATCTGTTTTGTTTATCACGTATTTCAAATTCTAGTATTTGCTTATCAAAGAAAGTATGAATTCATGCCGGGTTTTTTTTTTCATTGTGACAATTATTTTTATTAACAGTTCCATAACTTCAAACGTCATGTTTGTCTAAGGTTCAGTAATATGGAAGGTTAAAGTGTCTTTTAGTTCTTAAATTTCGAAAACCTATGGTAAACGTTCTAAAAGGAATACATCTTGGAAATATTAGTTTCAGGACCAAAAGTACCGCAAAGGAGTGAGGTCAACGGTATCTGTGTCACTTATAAATTCTATTGCCTAGTTATACTCATTTGGTCTAGATTTTACGCGTGTTGGGAGTAATATATCTTTGTGGTCGTTTAACGTTAATAAGTACCAGTCACGCACTTGTTACAGTTAGCAAAATGTTTACATTAATTAATTCTGTAAACGATCAATTAATTCTGTAAACGATCACATTACAATTTGATTCAGGATCTTCTGATTAAAAAAAATGAAATTAATAGTTTAAAGTTTCTCCATAGCTGAATATAACTTAAATATTTTTCAACGTGCTTTAACTAGAGTTGTTTGAAAATTATGTATGATTCAATATTTTTAACAGCTTTTATACACATTGTTTCTTTTATTAAAGAAAAAAATGAGCGATGCAATTTCCTGTGGTATTCCCGGCTTTACTTTGATTCGCCCATTCATCTACATTATTGTATATTGTTCATACATTCTTTCAAAGTATATACCCGCTTAAAGGAAAGTATTATGAGAATTTTCTTTGACAGGTGAAATAGTCTTGTAGATCAATGGAGATTAGTTGTCAACTCCATTGCAATTCTGTAATATAATAGACCATAGATGTGCTTTGTAGGTTTCATACTTTTAGGCTGAAACAAAATAGTGTCAAGTTAATTTAACGATGTATTTCGTTGATGTTTTTCCTTGACGTTTACAAGACCAGAAAGCAATGGCGTAAACGAACGATTAAATTAGACAACCGAATATGAGTACAAAGACATCGTTCCTTTCCGTACGATTTTTTTCATTTATCTCTAATTGCAATGTACTGTTATATGTCTTTTCATGTCTGCAAATCATTTCATATTTTCATAACGATATTATGGATTTTTTAAGAAAACAAAATACAATATTGAAGTAGTCTACTTAAAATGATTTTGCTCACACGCAAATGTTTCCCGTGGAAAAGGCGTGAGAACACTAAATTACAAAGAAGTATTTCCATGGTGCTACTACCACACTTCATATTTCAGATGATTGTCGGCTTCAATATCAATCCGTTAACATACGTGTCAAACGTACTGTTTAAGCTAGCACTCGGTAAAACAGAATCTCTAAGCTTGGCTTTCAGTATTGATCTAACCACAGAACAACAGCATCGAGGCCGTTCAGTGTTTCAGGGAATACAATGGCAAATGCCAAATTACTGTGATTAAATATTGATGGAAAACTTCATTAATTGAACAATGCTGGAATTCGCGAAACAAGACATCTATTGCTTGTATAGCTCTTCCACACCTTTTACAATTCTGTTCAGTATTAAAGGTCACCGGATTTAATGGCACAAGTCTGCGTTATGTAAAATTTAAGGGAAAGGCATGATTATCGGAACTATTATATATTCTGTTTATTGAATGCCATTTATGGGGAACATATTATTAGCAAAACGATATTCAAATTTCTATATTACATCTCGCCTTCCTGTACTGAGTAGTGAATGTCATTACATAAATTTATTATATAAGGAAACTGCTTAAAGCACTCACTTTACGTAATACTAATACAATGACATTTTCTTAGTGGTTTGTAATTAGAATTTGCTGTTAGTAATTTCTCTAATTTCTCCCTTATTGTTGAAGGAAGTAAATTCTCTCCCTTTTAATAAAAAAATTACAATAAATCAAGGAAGTTAATTCTCTCCCTTGATGAAAATATTCATTTATGTTAACCCTTGCCTTGCTGAATTTCTAAAGTACACTCGTCCAGCTTCAATTTTTGGAACTTCCCATTATCAATTTTGGGGTTAAGATAAAAACCTAAGTAAAGTAGCAAACAGTTTAGCCCCTGGTAAGACTGCAACAAGTCTGCACACTTCCGGTTCCAGAAAGGTAAAAGGTTAATTGAGAGTTAAGTAAAGCCGGCTAGGCATCAAATAGTAGAAAGTAATAGTAATTTATTTTGCAAAATTGTCAATGCTAATGAAGCATAGCAAACCAGAGTTACATTCAGTACCTTACCTGAAAAAAAACTTGTATATAAGCCTTTTTACTTCGGTGTTTTTTTATCTTGATTGATTGAACTATAGTCATTTAGTGATATATTTGTATATAAATGTTCATACTTGGACTAGAATTATTATTTATTTTTTATGTATTCATTTTTTCTCTATATTAACGTTATTTTATAAATTAAAGGACAAACAAGCTGTTAGTTCCACGTTGTTTCAATATAGCCTATATAAAAATACATTGATACAAAGCGCACAAGTATGCTTTCGTTTCCTGAACAGCTAAAACAAAACAAAATAGCCGTACATTAATTAAGTACGGTAAATTTTCAGTACCTAATATTCCGTAATGAACGGGCATACAGTCCTTGAATGCATCCAGTGAAACATATTCTTGTTATAAATATAAATAAGTCAATCTTCCTCGATAACACTTATATGATTGTGAATTTATTTTTCAGGTGTTCTCAAAGACTACTTCCGGGAGTTACCTGAACCACTTGTGACGAACGCTCTCTATCAGATGATGCTTGATGCTCTAAGCGTACGCCTTCCGAGTGACCCAGATGGGAGTGCAAAACTCATGCTTAGCATACTAGAGTGCCTTCCAAAATCCAATCAGGTATGGGTGTCTGACACTTTTACACAAATATTTCATCGTGATTTCAATGAAAGCGGCTGCTTCCTATTTTTCTTATTCTTCTTTAACAATGGTCATGGATTTTTACTATACATGTATTAAAGATTACTGGACTTTCGTGTTTATACTTGAATGAATAATGCGCATGCGTGTGCATGGTTATTTTTAGTTAAACTATTTATAAACGTTTAAGGGAGAGCATAAAAGGCAGTTCATTAAAAAAATAGGTTGGTGACCCTCGTATTTTTTCTCTTTTATTTGTTTCAGTCCTTATTCTGTTTTATCAAGTTTAAGAACTTTCTCCGTGCTTGTTTCAAGTTTCCTTTTTTACATTTTACGTTGTTTTACCTAAAATGCATTTCTCCCAGAACAGTCATTACATGACGGTGACTTTTCGGTGCTGGTATTTTAAAACAATTCAAACAAAATATACAATTGCCTAGCAATATTGAATGATCGATCCATACAGAATACTTCCTACCAAGGAGTGAACATATTTATGGCGTGTTTTAAAACGTGCGCAATTTTAACGGTTATAAATCAAATGCCATCCCACGCAAACTATTTCTATAAATATCACAACTTCTTATGAATTATGGGATTTTAAGTCTTGAAGATTAAATCCTTAACGATTTTAATGCGTTGTTACAGTAAATTTGTGAGAAACAAATTGAATATTTCAGAAATTTCTATTAAATATTTCAGAAACTAAATAAGGGCATAGTATTTTCGTATTTTGTTAATTCTTTTGACACTGTATTGTCATTTTTTCTTTTAACATTTGAGACACGAATAATAACCACTTTTTATTTGTTTGAAAACGCTGTACAAATTCTTTTATCTTACATTCGCATCATTATATTTATGTATTACATTTATTTAAAGGAACTCCACTGAGGTCCAAATACTTTTAAACATAAAATATTAATTTCTTAAATAAATCAGCTGGGGCACTCAAAACAGACAGTTATACTCGTACAAGAGATAAGCAAGAAATATGAAAAGTAATTAAAATGAAAATCGTATCTTTGTGCTATTATTAGCCTAATTTGAGTGCAAAGCGTTGCAACGCTTTTCAATATTGGGTCTTTCTTTTTTCAAAATAAAAATAATTGTTCTGATAAAACACACAAGTTATTAATCTAAACGTACTTCAAATGAAACATCAATCTCGAAAAATTATTTTCAGTCCAATCATGTAAAAAAACAGAATCTCAGTGGAGTCCCTTTAAGCATTAATTCACTTTGGAAAGGAGATTCTAATTTTGATAACGAGTACAAACGCCAGCTTCTTTGAAATCTTCTTTTGATATAAGAATTTAACACCCATCTCCGTTTCAAAAATTCAATACGATGCCACTGTGTTAAGCCTCTTACAATGTATTAATCAAGATATAATTCGATTCACATTTCAAAAAAGGGAAAGACAATTCATTATGAAACAAGCTTAATAATTGTTAAAAGAAACTACAAATTGGATTTTGGCGGTCATGAAGAGTGAGAAGTATAGAAAAGTTACGATTAAACACAGAGACGTTGCATGTATTCAGAGAGGATTTTGTTACAAATCAATCAGCGAGGTTTAGATAATAGTTTGATTAAAAAGCATTGCAGTATCGAATCACCAATCGTTGTTTTGAGCAAAACTAAAAGTATATTGTAGCATCACACTAACTGTCGTATTTCGGTATATATCGGACAAAACGCTTGAAAGATCAAAATTAATGCTAAAATCTCGCCTTTTCAGCCTCCGAAATAACTTTAAAGCGTCTAATTCATCTTTTTACACCGATTTATGTACAAACATAAATGAAAAATGGTAGAATTGACGAAAACAAGCGATATTTTTCTACTTTGTTATAATTATTTCTGCAAGCGTCTTGAGGTACTGCTCCAACACTGTAGTGAGTTAAATCTGTATTTTGGTAAACAGTTAAAAGTGCATAACCGCGTTAAATAATGCTACAATGTTTTTGAGGTGTAAAAGTCAAAATTAAATAATTTACCCAATGAAAGTATATTGTTATTGTATTTTTATATCTAGGCAACATGTAATTTAATTGTTTTCACATTCTTTGCACTGTATTCAGACTATATAAATACAATCTATTACCATATACCATTTACAATTTTGAGTTTAAGACTTTTTATCACAATAGTGTTATAATTATAACCTATTAATTAACGCAACAGTAAATACTGAAAATTAGTGAAATTTGGATTTGACGTCACATCCTGTTTAAAAAATGACGTCATTTTCAGGAGACGATGTCCTTGGTGCTCAACCATCTGCATGAAGTGGCGTCACATAGCGACAAGAACAAGATGGGGCTTGAACAGCTGGCAGTGTGTCTGGGTCCAGTCCTGCTCTGTCCTTCATCCGTCGGGTCCGACGACGAGACACTAGAATACAGTAAACATATTGAGGTCCTGAAATATCTGCTAGAAATATGGGGTAGTAGAAATAATGGTAGGTATATATATAACATTATTCGGAAAAAAGAAATGTCTTTACAAAATAAGCAACAAAAAATAGTTTCGCTTGCATGAAATCCATTCACGATAGATAGACTTATAGGTAGATAGGCGGTTAATATAGATGGCGCTCCGTGGCTCAGGCATAAACATAACGCACTTGTCAAGAAGTTGGGGGAGGGAGAAATGAGATAACTTATAAGACACAAAGTTTGCGTCCTTTAATGGGCCTTTTAGCATGAATATGATAATGTTTATGATAAAGGTTTCGGTCGACAGACTCATAGAACGAAAACAAATATACATTATCTTCCATTTTCTCTATATCGTAATCAATGTACAGGTGTACAAACAGAACGATATGTACATCGGATTGAGTGTTTAAAGAAGCTAAAATTTTCCTGTTTTCTAGCCTTTTCATTTATATTCTTAGAAAATACATGTCGTATGGTCCTTTTCACATGTATGAATAGTATTTTACGCCTGTAAGGACATAAACATACGCCTTGATAAATAAATAAATAAATAAGATAACAATTTCTGGCGCAAACCAATAGAAATACTTATATCAAAGTGCATAAATACAATTCCGAAATACATAAACGATCAATGGAAATATGCATTATAATGAAACATAATGAATAACAACAATTAACTTTAAGGACATAAACACACGCCTTGATAAATAAATAAATAAATAAATAAGATAACAATTTCTGGCGCAAACCAAGAGAAATATTTATATCAAAGTGCGCATGCGTGAGGTGTTTTTTCCGGGAAGTTTGTAAAAACTGAGGCCCGGCATGCAAATTATGTCAAAATGAAATATGAGAAATTAGTTGTTATAATGAGATGATGAAATGGAATGATATAGGAATAATATAGGATAATGGATTGTATATCGGTCTGTAAACAGACAAATACAAGAGATATATATACAAATACAAGGACAAAATGATACATGAAAACGATATTCAAAAACACGAATATCGACCACATGACATACATTTAGAAAAAACGACTTTTTATAAGAATGAACCCAAGTGTCAACGCTATCACATATAACGATTGAAAATTTGTTACGTAATCGTTTGAAACAAGGCAGTTTTAGCATTAGAAATGAAAATAAAATTTCAGTGCAAACTAGCTTACAAAACCTCCTAAATCCATTTGCAGATCTCCTTTCTGTAAAGACATCTTATACTTGGAATTCTTCACTTTAAACAATACTGTTTCAAAAAAACTAATTTTTCAAGGAGAACGGTGCTTGTAATTTCCATAACTTGAATTACTTTCGACAGATATGCAGAAGACAAATTCCCATGATAAGTTCTATGCAACTGACTTGAATAATTCTGTAAATAAAATAATTCATGGCTCAAGCCAACGCGATAGACGCCGTTTTAGAATGAATTAATGCAAAGAGTTTCGGTCATACCGTTGACGTGTGCAAAACATTTTACCATTTAACTAAGTAATTGACTTGCCTTTGTAATTTGGAACTGTATTTTACTTATTTCAGGAAATTCAGTGTAGACAGGGGTGGGGCGTAATAGTTTATTTTATGCATCATTATGCCTGACTGAATTAAATAAAATAAGTAATACAATTGAGTTACTATCGACGTGTACATGCTTTCTAAATGAAAAAGGCCCTTAAAAAGAATTTGATGAAATAAAATATTTTTCCTGAATACCAATCCAAAAAAATGCTACAGTTGATTAATTAACTTCTTTATAAAGCCAGTAGACAGATAACCATGTGAACTTTTGGCGCCATATTTCCTATTGTCGTTTGGTTTGACTTTTCTACAATATAAGGTTTATTGATTTACCGTACTGACAAAACTCAACTTTTCAGATATCGTTAAATACAGACATTATTATATTTACTTGATTTATATCTAAAGTAAAATCAGAAATGTATTTTAAGAATATTAATTTTCAAATAATAAATGTCGTCTGCTTCACAGACAAAAAAATTGTTTAAAAAAATCGCTAATATTTTTTTATTGTCAACCATAATGCTTGAACGGCATTGCCACTTATTTCAGTTATATGTTATAATTTTCATATAATACTTTTTGCAGATGGGTCAAAGCCAACAAGCACACCTTCCTCCCAGAAATCTGCCAGTCCGACAGTTAACACCAGTTGACGAACAACATGTGTTTAGAATATATTTCAGCGTCTGTTCCATCTATATTTAAAACGGAAAACTACAGACATATAGGTTGTTTTGCAAACTCTTAAATAAAATCATGTCTTTTGATGGACAACACAATTAAGATAGAACTGAACTGAAATGAGCTGGACTGAATCGAACTGAATTGGATTGGAAGAGCTGTATGATTCTATTTCAAAATTGGACAATGGCTGAAAAATAGTTCGTTGATAATTCTTTAAGAAATCTCATAATAAACAAAGGTTTAAAGGATGATTTTAAAAGCATAGAGAATGCGACTGTTTGACTTATCGTCTGCTCGAAAACGGTGTGTTGAAGGTGTCGAATGTACTTAAATAAAAGATTTTAAAGAAGGGTCCTTCAATAAAGTGTCATTGGAAAATAGGAAAATATATAAATTTCCAAGATCTTTTTCATCAACTGAACTTGTTAATAATTTATCTAAAAAATAGTTATGTTTTGACATAAACTGCTAGACCATTTTGACTTTCAATTTAATTGAAATGAATTAAACACATGTTTTTATCGAATAATTTCCTGCATCCTGCATTATTTGGATCTGAAAATAACTTTAGATTCTAAAAATAACTTAGATTCTAAAAATAACTTATGTAACTGCATCTAAACATAAGCTTTTTTTAAAATGTACATAATGGAAAATGTTTGTGTTTAGGAAAGGGAAATAAACCTTTGACCTCATATCATCATGACATGGAAATTGGCGACAGTTTGTGATTTGTAAGAAAAGAGCATTGGTTAGCCTTTGAACTGATATCATTTCATGGAAATTGGCGACAGTTTGGGACGTTAAGAAATGAGCATCAACCTTTGATATGACAGCACTACATGATGGAAATTGGCGACATATTGTGCTCAGTTATGAAAATATAACATGGAAATTGGCGACAAAATGTTCTCCTTGAAAATTATTTACAGTAATGTTGTAAAATATCACATGGGAAATTGTGACAAAATGTGTTCCTTAAAAATAAGAAAATTGGCTACATAATCACGCAAACAAAGTGATATTTAAAATTGTTTAGTGCTGAAGTACTATCTATGGACACTGGCTACATATATTAATTCAAGATAGGTCGGACGATTCAATATTGCTACATATTAATCACGTGGACAATGTTCTCAGAACGGTGCATGATGTCTTTAGGATCATTCTCCCTGGACGACTCGAACTATTGCAATTATTTTGGTCACAGTCCCAATTAAATGTGCAGACTCGTATATGGCTATATTATTTGAATTATAAATTATTCATAGTAACAGATACCTATCTGATAACAGAAAACATTCATGTTTTAAAATTGAATGGCAAGCTATATGTAGTTTAGGTTTCATATCGATACATGGAACAAAACCTGCATAAATATGTTTTAAACATAGGAAGGGTTGTTATGACTTTGTGGTTTCGGAAGAGATTTCATTAGAATAGGTTGTCTATAAATAGAATTCTTTAAATAGATTTTTAGTATTTAAGCGACAATTCACTTTTTAAGTGATTTAAAGTTTTTATTTAGAAAATGTTGATTTTAAGGATTATTTAAAGAATGTAAGTGATGAAATGTATACGAAAAAATAAATTTATTTATGTGCATAAGCATACGTGGACAAATTTAACAATTTTTTTTTGTTTCTGCTAAACACTAGTAAGCTTCAGTTAAACAAAAAATGTCGAAATATCTGAATCAGTGATATTTATTTATTAATTTTATATTTTTATGATATTATCGTTAGTATTTAAATCAGTTAAATTAAGATACAAGTGATTCTACTAAAACTGGGCAAGGACCTTTAGATATTTTTTTTATCTTTTGGACGTGAATAACACTAAAACTTGTTTTGATGCAAGAATGAAAAAAGGAAAACACTATTTTTAACATTTGTCTTAAATTGGGATATACATGTACATGTATACATTTATATAATTTACGTTTTTTGTTTAAGAACTTGTATACAATTATACGTTCTTATTTTGTTTTTGTACCTGGTATAATGAATGTCTTGGCTAATTTTTTAAACACACTTGAATTTCAATTCAATTCTATTTTCAAATGAGCATATAAACAGAATGGCTTTAATCAATATATATTTTAATGAGTTTCTCTCTTTTGTTAAATGATCCAGTGCATTTAAAATATCTTATGTGCACACCTTAAGTTTGTCATACCTTCGCGGAGGCGTGTCTTGTAGGAAATTTATCCTTTTCAACAGTCGGAATACAGTACGTCTGGGGTCAGCCTTCAGCACGTCCGGAATCAGCCGGCATCATGATAGGAATAAGCAGACAGCAAGCCCGGAATCCGCCGTAGTATTACAGAGAAATATACTCACGAATTTTACATGAACTATTCTGTGAAATGTTCCCTGGTGTTTCTGCGTTTATTTCTGTTAATTAGATAGATGGATTCTGTATTGACCATCTTACTCCCGAGGGTGACCTTCTCAGGACTGTCAAACTTTTTTGAAGAGAAACGAACTGTTAAGTAACGACTACAATAAAATTAGTTGACATTAATAGAAAATAGGGTTGTGATAACTGGAAGAACCAAGTCTGTTTCAAAACATGTATTCTAGTCGATGAACTTTGTATAAACTGAGTATCCAGATTATTTAAATGATACAGAAAATATAATTTTATTGATATTTATCCAAAAGATAACGAACGCCTAAAGGAAAAGATATTTGTTCTGAATGCGTTATTGTTCAATATTGTATGGTTTTAAATTGAGATGCCCAGTATTTCGTTAACAAAGACAATTATGTTGAATGGACTAAACATTCAAATAACAAAGCATGTAATATTAAATAATATTGTCTCATACAGTTATTTAGGTATACAATTTTTTTATCAAATGAATGGCCTTTGGCCATCAAATAAAGGTCAAAACATTTGATAGTAACATATATGGCATACAGGCTTTCCAAATTTAGCAAACCGAAGCTATTGAGTTAGTTTTTTCATTGGGTTAAATCCAATATCATAATGCGCGGAGTATAAGGGGCAATAACTTCAGTGTATAAAAAAATAAATAATTACATTTATATGTATTGTTGTGTCGGTTTTACATCAGCAAATTCTAAAGACTAGTAACTTAAATCATAGGCTACAAACAATTATTTATATATATTAAAATGTGTTACAATTATGACATTTTTAGTTTGAAAATATAATGTTTTGTATTTTGTGATAGGGCTTTTAGATATTGTAAGTTGCTAGAAAATTGAAGTTTGTGTTAATCAAACTCATTGCAGCAATTATCTCAATGTACGGGAGATAAATGTGTATAGACATTACCTCCCTAGCAATTTAACTTGATAGAAGGGAGACTACTGTTGTCAGAAATTTGTTTATTTCATGTCGAACGGTTAGCTCCCTTGTATTTTGTAACTTCACTGTAAGGGTGGACAACTCTGTATACGAGTTTGAGTTTTTATCTGTTAGATTGTAAATCGTTTCCACATGTACATACTTAAATGTTGCATTATATAATTATATATTAGATTTAACAAATTACTAGGAATAAATTATACATGTTAATTAATAATTTTGTTCTTAGCATTGTTGCGATATGTGAGAGTAGATTTTATACAAATGAGATTACCTACTAACGGGTTGTATGGACATGATGGTCCAAGAATAACAGTAAAAATACTACTTTAAAGTGTTTGTGATCTTTTTTTCTTTTTTACCCACTCAAACCACATTTATCATCTCAGTGTACTTTAAAGTAATGATTTAGACTAGCCCTTAATCCACAAAAGCAAGTCAAAGCGCCAAATTCTCGAGAAGAACCTCAATTCTTGGAAACTTGATATTTTTGGTTTTATGAGTCTATAAAAATATATAACTGACGACCTAGTTCGAAACCTTAGACCCAAGTATAAATATGCTATGTACAAATTCAGAGCTGACGACGAATATATCAAAGTTAAAAGTGGGGTACCAGTTGATGTTTTCAATGACAAATCAAGCAATTTTGCTGTCTTCAGTAAGACATGCGTTAAATGTAAGCTTATTTAAATAAATGTCGTTTCCATTGATATAAAAGGTAACATCTCAGAAGATTAATAATGGTCGATGTGCAGGATGCATCTCCTCCCAAAATTACGGCCTCTCCTCCTCAAATGATAAGCAAGAATATAGTCGTCGCATAGTACATTTCTAAAGTATGTGCATATAAGTATGTGCCTTATCTTTTATCACTTAAAGAAATAGAATCTAAAATCAAACATCCAGTCAAGTCATAAAATTTCATTTTGGTCGATGACTTTTTCTTACGACACATAGTTCACAAATGAATTTTAAATATGCAAAACATACTAGGATTTCTAAACCCGAAGGAGAAGACATTTGAAATTGATGAAATCTAGGGGACTTTGCTAAGGAAAATAATTTAAGAAGCTCAGAAAATGCAATTACTTTAACACAACCTAAAAGCTATATCATGGAAATAAAGTAAAATTATGTGAAATATTCTTACAGTAATCGCACAAATAACTCTAGCGGTCGATACTGTCATGGAAATAAAGTAAAATTATGTGAAATATTCTCACAGTAATCGCACAAATAACTCTACCGGTCGATACTGTAATAAACAGTTGAAGACAGAATCTTCAGAATAAACTCCACGTAGTGGCAGATCTTTCTGCAATAAATATTTGAAGATTCGGAAATCTGGAGATCTGTTATTCGATATCAGTTATATGTAATGGTAAAATCTAGAGGACATTCTACTGTTAAACAAAGATATTTAATGTAAAAATGATATTTGAAAAAATAAAAACAGGTAAAAGTTCCTCATAAATGGACCTTTAGTTTAGTTTAAACATATTTAAATGGTGAAAGAAAGAAATTTATTGGAATTTTTTTGTGATATATAAAACACAAGAAGCCTCGAAGTTGAAGATTTGGAAACAATAGATAGTCTTTATAGTGAACAAGACTTCTTTGCTGTTCTTGGTAATCAATGCGAACAGTTCAAGCCTTGTTCAAGAGATGTAGTTAAAGTTAATGCAAAGCGCAGCTGAAACGAAGCATAGAAAAGAGCTGATGGGCATGACTTCTACAAAATAAAGCTCGTTTGCAATATATGATAATGATATCAAAACCTAAGATCAGGAATGCTGTTTCCTTTGACGTAAAACATCATAGGATCTAAAAAAATGGTCGGCAGGGATGATTCCTGATCTAAAACATGATTCCAGTTCAGACGTCACCGGGAGGGGTTAAAGATTAATGAAATTCCATTTTTCTATAGAAAGTTTTATTATTAAGTATCATAAGAAGTCATTAAAAATCACATCCATAGTATTTTCTAAGATTTTACAAATGATTAATGCTCAATTCACACAACACAGTAGATTATAATACGGGAAAAAAATTCTATTCAGATTTCAAATATTCAAATACATGGTCTGAGCAAGGCCACAAGTATGGCTAAAAAGGGTTGAAATGTTAATTTATTACTGCTATATTTGTAATTCAATGTACACAACAGAATATCACGTGCCGTTCACAATTTAAAACATATCGTTTTAGCAAGTATTTATCAATAAATATTTAAGTTTAATAATATAGGTACTATGAACACCGTATA